GGCGGCACTGGCCGCATCTTGGACAAACGTGTCGCCCTTGAAGGACGTGTCGTATCGTCGTGGCGTCCTCTTGCCAGCTTGCCGAGCGATCACATTGGTCTGGCCTATGTGGTTTACGCGCATGCTGTCCACTTGTCGCATCTTCCTTCACCCCTAATCATCGACATTCGAGGCAGATGTGCGGGTGTTCGGGTGGATGCGCAGTTTTGCGCCGACAGGGGAGAATGTTGTGCGGTCTCATCTAGCAGTCAGGACCTATTCCATTCTTGTCTGTGTTGTCATTTTGTGGCACTTGCACCATCGCTGAAGGCTCGACTGAAGGGCGATCCGGCACGTTCCTGCACAAGGTCAGGCAGTACGACAGGCAACATATCCAGGAGCCCGATTTCCGAGTGGGGGAAGCACGATGCCAGTGACATTCAGGATGAAATTCGGATGCGCGGCCCAGGAAGTGGCATATCGTATACAAGCGAGGAGTGGGGATGCAGGATGACTGGGCAATGCTGTCGTCGGTGAGGGACTGCGCGGGGCAGGACACTAACCCGGCGGCTTTCGTGTAAGTCTTAGGCAGGATGGGTGAGGCAGAGACAGAGTCAGGAGGGAAAAAAACACAGGCACAATGAATCGTCGATTCCTCAGAAAATACGGGAAGATATGGGAAGCGGGGGGGAAGACGAACACCCATAACGTAGAATAACAATAATATTGTATTTGTATATATTTGTTTGTGTCTGTGTGTCCCTGAGCCCCTTGAGAATTGGGGGCAGAGGTCTTCGTGGCCCCAGGGGAGGTGCAGAAAGCGAAAACGAGCGACCACCGTGACGCAGGCCCTCCGCTTCGGCCTCCTCCTCCTCCTCCTCCTCCCCTCCTCCTCCTCCTCCTCCTCCTCCTCCTCCTCCTCCTCCTCCTCTCTCATCATCATCATCATCATCATCATCATCATCATCATCATCATCATCATCATCATCATCATCATCATCATCATCATCATCATCATCATCATCTCCTCTTTTTTCTCATTCTCGTCCTCCCTCCCTCCCTCCCCCCCTCGCCTCCTCCCTCCTCCTCCTCTTCCTCCTCCTCCTCCTCCAGATTCTCGTCCTCCCCCCTCCTCACCCCCCTCCCCCTCCTCCCCCTCCTGCCTGCCGTGCCTGGCTTGCGCTGCCCACAGGGCTGGCCCTGTTGGGCTGAGGTCTGCCCACCGAGGCGCGAGGACTTGAGGCAGTCCCTGGGCGGCCCCTGATCAGAACGAGGGGGAGGGAAGGGGAGAAGAGAAGAAGGGAGAGGAAGACAACGGAGGAGGGGTGAGGCATGTTGAACTAAGCCGAGGCTTTCCAGATGGGGTCCGAGTAAAAGCGGTCGGATGATCCCGCCGCACCGGCGATGGGGCCTGATAGGTCGCCGATGTGTCGCCGATGCGTCACCGACGTCGCCGATGCGTCGCCGACGTCACCGATGCATCGATGATGCTGTTCGATTCCATGATCCACATAGGAGGCCTCCGGTGAAGGAGTGGCGTAGGTGGTGAGAGCGGGAGGGCTGGGCTCATTTCGACTTTGCGACTCGATCCGATTCGATTTCGACCGATTCCGATTCCGGTTCGATTCGATTTCGGATTCCATTTCGACCTTGGTCTCTTGATGGAGGCATTACTGGCAGGCAGATCTCCGCCGACTCGACTTATCCCGACCTGGCTGCCGATTTCTGCCGATCCGTTCCACCTCGATCGCCGATCCGACCCGTTGATCCGATCTCGGTCTCTTCTGGAGGAGACGGAGGCGGAGGAGGAGGAGGAGGGGTTAGGGGGGGGAGGGGAGGAGGGGGCGAGAGGAGGCGGGGGCGAGAGGAGGAGGAGGAGGAGGAGGAGGAGGACAAGAGAAGGCCCCGCCCGCTACTTCTGCCCGGCCGGTGCCGCCCTGGGCCCGCCGCCTCCTCGCGCTCCTCCGCCCGTGCCTTCCGTGCCCGTAATCAGCTCTCTCGCTGAGCGCCGGCCGGCGCCGCGGGCGGGGCGCGCCTTAGGTCTGGCCGGGCGCGCCTTAGGTCTGGAGGTAGGAGAGGGGTATGGTATAAAGGGGTGTGGTGCTAATTTCATGTAGAGAGGAATCTGGCGATGTTTTTTATCGCAGAAAGCATCGCCGTTTTCACGATTGGAACCATACCCCTTTATGCCACACCTCTTTCCGACCTTCAAATTAGGGCGTGCCCGGAGATCGGGGGCAACGCTCGGGGCCGACAGTCGAATCGTTTCTTCAGCCCGCGGGCACCAAATGGTCCAGACTCTAGGCCTCCCAGATTCGGTCGGAGTAGAGGGGGTCGAAGGATCGCGCTGCATCGCCGATGCATCGACGATGCGGCCCGATGCAGAGCCCGACTTGCGCCACGCCGACGGCACCAATGCATCGCTGACATCGCCGGTGCATTGCCAATGCATCGGCGATGCATCGCCGATGCATGGGCGATGCATGGGCGATGTCAGCGCGATCCGTCGACTCCACCTAGTTCAACCCCATCTAGGAGGCCTCTACAGACAGTCGGGCGCCAGTCAGCAAGCAGCTGGGTGCACCGGAGGCGAGTTGAGGCACGAGAGCGACATGGAAAAGACAGTCGAAGAACACAGACCACGGCAGAAGCATGAGCCTGAAGCTCCGCGCGGATTTCTCGGATCGGCGCTGGGCCCCCGTGGCGGCGCCTCCGGCGCCGCCGCCAGGGAAGGTCAATCAGCGCAGATCCCAGAATTTTTGGCGGAACTCCAAAAGTGTCTGTTTATACAGTCCTTTTGCTGCGTCCATGGAGGAAGAACCACCCGGACCCGACAATGGGCGTTTACTGAACGGCGCTGGGCGTTTATTAAACAGCCCTGCCCTGTTCGAATTCTTCTGTGGGTGCGTTTACGACAAGGCTTCGCGTGTCGGGGGATTATTCTGGGGGGGCATTTTCTGCCCTCCAGGATGGGCCGAGGAGGGGAGGCATGGACCTCCCAACGGCGCCGACTGCGGGCACGATTCGTATGCATGTCCGCTGCGTCTTGGGCTCTCCTGGGGCGGGGCGGCAGAAGGCCAGGGCGCAGTGGAGATGGGCAAACATCTAGCCTGCAGGTGAGCGTTTTTTATTCATTGTTCTGCCGATCGGCGCGGGCCCCCCTCCCCCCTCTCCACCCCCCATGGAGTAGATCTTGGCTGTTTTGGGCGACTGTTTCGAGCAGGTGGAGTCTTCCCTCACAGGACCCAGTGCTGCAAACAGTCGCACTAAGCAGAGGTCCAGAGCCAGACCCCCCCCCCTCCCCCCCTTCCGCCCAATGTCGAAACGCCGAATAAAAAGACGCTCACCAGGGGCCATACTCTACACCGCGCCTCGGGTGTCTGGGGAAGGGGGCCCGAAACTCCTAGATGAGGGGGCCGAACCGTCATTCACTGTCCCTGGGATCGTGGTTGAAGTGAGGTTCCGCGGTGCGGACTGTTGTTGTCGGTGTTGTTGGTTCGTTTGTTTTTTATGTGTTGTTTGTTGTCGTCGCGTCGTCCCTCACGCGACTGGCCCGCGACCCAGCCCGCGACCCGCCCGCGACCCAGCCCGCGACCCACCCGCGACCACCCCGGGACCCATCCGGGACTCATCCGCGACACACCCGCGACCCAACCGCGACCCACCCGAGACCCACCTGCGACCGGGGGTCCCCCAGTCAACCGTGGGTGATCGGCAAGCAAGTTTCAGGGACGACACAAGGACGTACACGTACTTGAATCCACATTGGTTTCGAGAGGTACGCATTGCGCGATTTTTCGCATCACGCGGCAGGTCTCGCAGATTGGGGGGCCGTGTTAATGTACGTGGGTGAGCTCCCTAGAGTTGCCCTAGTTTTGAAAATTGTGCCAGTGGCAGCGGTTGGCAGGCAGGGCGCAGTTCGCATTTCTAGGGCGGTGCTCCAGAAACGGCTGTCTTCGAGGATCGACGGAGATGACTTCTCCTTCCACGGCGGAAGGCGGCAGATGGGCGACCGAAGCCCGCGGAAGTATTACGAGGCCGCATCCGCCGGCGGAAGCCGGCGGTAATGAAGGACAAATTTCGACGGCTCGAGTGACACAGAGCGTGGTCTCGTGCGTGCTGGGTCGCAAGTCCCAGCCCGAACACTGGCCTCTCTTCCCTTCAGCCGCCATGGCCTGCGCTGCGAGGCGCACATGATGGGGAAGACCTCCAAAAACTTTGAGGTCGGCGAGGTGAGCGCTGGATTGCTGAACGACGGTCCTGAACCCGGATGCAAGATCGACCATGCTGACAGCGGCTTCCAGGGAGCAAGTGCATATGGGTGGCAAAAGGGCCCTTCGACGGGCCGTGCGAACATTGAGATTGGAAGGACAGGTGTGGTACCATGGCAAGAGGTATACCAGAGCCACGGCAGCTGCACTTCTCCCGGTAATGCATGAATTCACTGCTCCTGGGGCAAGACCGACACCTACGCGTTCGACTACGACACCAGCTCGTGCATCGCCTACCACACCAAGCACGGCCACCAGCGCCGCCGTATATTATCATCACCGCCGTCGCCGAGACAAATGCCATACCCAGCTGCTCACTTTCTGGACCTACAACTGTGAAAGCTTGGTTCGGGCTGATCGCTTGGCAGAAATCCTCAGGCTAGCAAGATCCAGGGGAGTGGCCGTTGTCAGCCTCCAGAGCACCCTCATGGAGCTGGGCATTCCCTGGGCCACCGAGGGATACAGGATCGCCCCCACTCCGCGCACGACACGAACGAGCAGAAACGGCTGCTTGATTGCCTTTGACCTCCGCATCGTCGCACTTTCCGAACTTAGAGTATTTCACAGTCTGATGGATGGCAGATTACACGGTATTCGACTTACACGCAAGGGACCCAAAGACAGAGACCTTTACATCTTGAGCGGCTACGCCCCCCTCAACGAAGTTGGCCCCGCGAGGGCTGGCGAAGACCAACATCAGAAGAGCATTGCCCACCGCGATCTCCAGGACCGTTTTTGGGATTCCTGCAGGTCCGCCCTGAGCCAGCTGCCGCAGCGGGTCGCCGTAGTGATGACCATGGACGCTAACGCTGCCACAGCGCCTCAGCTCCCGCACGTCGGCTTCGCGGGCCAGCGCCGTACATGCATTCACTTGAACGGCAACGGTGCCCGCCTGCTAGACCTCCTCCAGACGTTCCACCTGTCGGCCCTCGACACCTTCGGCAAGCGCACGAGACAGAACGGTACGTGGAAGCATGTGATCGGCAAGGGATGGACGACCATAGACTACATATGTGTTAGATTGTGCGGTGCCTACGGCGCCAAAGCTCACCCCCTAAGGGAGCTACCAGTCAGCCTCGAAGGATACCGTGGCCACCGCCCAGTGGAAGCTCACATCTATGCTGGCGTGCGTGCAAAAAGAGTTCCCGAGCCCAAGCCAGCTAGATGGGATCGCGAAGTCCTGGTGAGGGACCTACGCCTACTGAGAGATGAGAATGCCGACATCCCACCTCACTTGGATGCTACGCGCGACCGCCTCCAGACCCTCCTCCGCCAACGCAATCTAACCCAACAGTGGCACCTTGTTTGTGGTGAGGGCCAACAGTGCGGCACACCCCCAGACTATTCCAATGCGCTGGAACAGTCATTGATTGAGGCCGCGGCCCCGCGCTACCTCCTCCAGCCGACGAAGGTGAACAGGCCGAAGCTACAGGATGCGACCTTGGCCCTGATAGGCCTGAAGCACGAGCTTCAGAGACGCGTGGCCCTCCATGCGGACCAGGCCACCTCCACCTGCGGCCGCCTCCAGTCCAGGTTTCACGAGGCCGCCAGGGCGGCAGCCAAAGCAGTTCGAGCTGAACGCCGCCAGCGCCTCGCCGAGACGGCAAAAGAAGCAGGGGCCGCTGGGGCCGTCGTGAACCTCCGCCGCCTGCGCGCCGCGGTGCGGCGCCTGGCCCCCGAACCTGTCGCCCCTGTCGTCACGGTCAACAACCCCGCAACAGGTGGGACTTGCCAGGGCGCCGAGGAGGAGGTGGAGGCCCGAGCCCGAGCTTTGAGCACCATCTTTGATGGAACTATCATTGACATGAACAGCTTAGGTGGACCCCCGGGCCTCCTTCCGCGAGATGACACGCGCATCGGCACCTGCAGCATTGACGACATCACGAAGGCCATCCACAACATGCCGAATTACAAGAGTGCCCCAGTCCTCCAGACGCCAGCGATGAGCGACCATGAGACCACCATTGAACCCAGCACCGACAGCCACGTCGACCAGCCCTTCGATGGATCCGTCATTGAGATCTGGACGTTGTGCGTTTCTGAAACAGCCCCAGCCATGCAGAATGCGTTCGGCGCCTGCCAGGCCCTTGGCCACTCCGCCCAGCGCTTCAAGGACGGAGAGACGGCCTCCCTCAGGAAGCCGAAGGGCGACGGCAAGAGCGCCAAGGACCATAACAGAACGATCAACCTGATCAATCACATCGGCCAGGTCTACATGAATGTTACTGTCTTGCCCGAGCTTAGAGGACTGGCGTCTCGTCTTTCATTCTCGCAGTTCGGGTCGCCTGCGTGGACGCAGGTCGCGGCTTGGGTCGGGCACGACACCTGGTATGCTCCTAGCCGTTTTGATTGACCCTGAGAAGGCGTTCGACCTGATAGATCGTGAGGAGATTGGACCGCGCTCGAGACGCTCGCCGTCAAACGCAACGTTAGACTCACGGTCGAGGAGCTCCACGAAGGCACGTGCTACATCGCCCGCGACATCAGAACCAACACGCCCATTCGGAAGCTCCTCATCCCGAAGGGGGTCCGCCAGGGCAGCGTCGAGGGCCCGCTTCTGTTTGTTGCAGTGCACGACCTCCTGACGTCGGCCCTTGAGAGCAGCCACTCCGTTTCTGAATTTCCTAAAGTGCACGCCACCTTTGACCCCGGGCTCAAAAAGATTAGGCGCCAGCATGACCTCGTGGGCGACGAAGGAGAGGAGAGGATGGTAGTCTCGCCGATAGAGTTCGTTGGTGACCTGATCGCCTTCACCATTGTCGAGAACGCCGGGGCAGCCTTTCGCTTCCTTGCCTTCCTGCGCTCCGAAATCTCGAAGTGCAAGATGAAAGTAAAAGACGATAGGACCGAGATGCTAATAGTAGTGGCTGGCAACATGAGCAAGCAGCGCAATACTAAGATTAGAGCCACGCAAGCGAACATCATGACGCACACCACACCATTACATGCTACAGCTAGGGTCAAATATCTTGGCGCTAAGCAGCGGGAGGACGGGTCGATGGTGGAGGAGGTAACTCATAGGATTCAGGGCAGTAGCGCCGCACATGCACGCCTAGCCCGTTGAGCTTTTAAAGGCCACTTCAGTGTTCGGCTTCGCGTTCGACTCCGGTGCTCGCTAGTTCGATCGACCCTCCTCTATGGCCTCGAGGTTGCTGTCCTGACCAAGCGTGACCTCAACAGACTTGAGCTTTGGCAGACCCGTAAGCTCCGCTACCTTGCCCGCGCTTCCGCCCATGCCCACCATGTCTGTAATGTGGAGGTCAGGAGGCTCACGCGTGTGGCGACGGTAGCCTCAACCTTGCTCGAGAGGCGGCTCGTCTGGTGGACGGGCGTTGCACGACCAGCCTTCCCCGACCTCATGAAGAAAAAGCCCCGGGAAGGCGACGGCGAAGATGACGCCCCCAAGCGCGATCCCTCCCGTCTGGTTCGGGCAGTTGTGTTTGGCAGATTCAACTTCGAGGGCCCCCGTCATAAAGAAGTCAACTCTCTCCTGGAACTCTTACGTGAGGACTTGAGGCAGCTCTGGCAGACCATGGACCCCGAGGCCCAACAAGATGCCCGTGATGCCAATGCCCTGGATGATCCCAGACCCGCTCCGACCCGTCCGCGGCTTCGATGGTTGTGTCAGGTCCCCCGAGCTCATCTTCGGCAAGTGCGAAGGTATGCGACCGAGGATGAAGCGAAGATAGCCGCGGGCGTGGTTCTTGCCCCAGAGGTGATGATCAAGTGCCCAGTATGTCCCCGCATGTGTCAAGGCCCCAAAGGTTTGGCCAATCATATGTTTTCGGTCCACAAGAAGTACGCCAACCCCACGGACCTCACATATGACCAACTGAGATCCCTGAGGTTCCCCAGATGTTCTACGTCCTTCAGCCGAAAGGATGCACTTGTTCGTCATGTTCAACAACATCGGTGCCGTGTACCACAGGCGTGCGAGGCTCAAGATCCAGAGACGGCAGCTCCAGACCTACCAGGCCCGCCGGCTCCGCCCCCTCCGCCAGCCGCACATGTTCACCCCGATCGCGGAGATCTCCAACGGTGCGAAGCGCAGCGCGGAGGGCCCCCCCGAGGGGCGGGCCAACGAGGAGAAGGGGACGACCCCCCACGGCAAGCTCCAGTCCTTGATGTGCCGCCTGCTACTCCAGCACGAAGCCGCGCACCAGGCCGCGGCGCGCGACGACAACCTGACGCTGACCTTGAAGGAAGGCCAGAAGCTCGAGGTGGCGCTGGAGACGGGCTTCCAGGAGTACGTACGAGTGGGCAAGACCGCTTGAGAGGGCGACGACTTCATCGGCCACCCGATGGGCAAGAAACCAGATGCCCTCCTGAAGATGGTCGTCTTTCGGATCTCCGAGGCCGCAGCCGCCAACCGCGAGAGGCTGATGAAGGCAATCGAGCAGGGCCCCACCCTCAGGCGGCCGCCGAGGCCGCCGGAGTTCTAGAGAGGTGGGGCCAGCTCGTTCAGAATCCAGACGCGATCTTGAAGGCCGAGGGCGAGGACCAGGCACGCTGGGTCTTCGCATGCAACCACCACCCCGACCTGAAGACCGCCCTGAACGTGCTGCGCCTCAACGGAGGCATGGGGTCCGTGGCGATCCCACTCGGTCGCGATCACGGCCCGAGGTCAGGTCGCAAAGCAGATCGAGCAGCTCGCCTTCAGGGACGATGGCAAGACAAAGTCCGCCGGCAAGAAGAAGTCCAGGAAGTAACCGAGCCCCGACCCCGTGTCCGTGGAGCCCGTGGAGCCCAGGCGCCCCCGAGCCTCGCATTGACGGCCATTCTTGAACGGCGGAGGTCCGCGGCGGGATGATAGCTCGGCAGTTTTGTGCATTCTAGTTGGGTCTGAACGCATACCTCCGCATCAAATTTCTGACGTTGGTGAGCGTCGTTGTTGTGGAGCTCAGGATTTGCCTCATTTTCGTGGGTCCGTGGGCGGACCGAGCATGCCAATGAGATCGAGGGTATACCCAGAGGCTCCGCTTGCTGCCGCCGTCGCCGCTTGCTCTTCCTTCGGTCTTGTTTTCTCGAGCGCCCTGTTTGGGAGGTGCTGCCCCGAGGCCCTAGAGGGGGTCCGAGGGCCGCGCCCGCAGCGCCGCCTCCGCAGAGGCGGGGGCGCGCGGGTGCGGGGCCCTGGCCCCCCGATCTTCTCGCGCGTCCCTGTCCAGAGCCCCTCGTCTAAAATGCAGGATTTTCGATGCGCCGATTTCGGTAGGTTCCATTTGGCCCCTCACGAAGCGTCCGATTGAGCGAGCTTGGGCGCAGTGCTGAGAAACAAGGTAATAAAGGACGCGCTTCAAGAGATGATCTCATGTTTGGGGTCACGATTTCCGAAACCCGCCAATTGGAGAATGTGTCTTCTTTTGGCAGGGCGGCGTGAGGCTGAGTAGGAGTAGGGGCAGTAGGAGGAGTAGGAGCAGTAGGAGGAGTAGGAGGAGTCGGATGTGGGTTGGGGTGGCCGAAGCTCTTCGGAAAAAAAGCGGGAGCTTTCAGCATTCGGGCAGGCGGGTTTTATCCAGGAGTTCGCTTTGAATATTCATGATGTTGTTTTTCGCGGGCGCTTGGGTTTCACTCCGTGGTGATTGGAGGATTCTAGCAGGAGTGCCGTATTCCACTGTCCGTAGGTTCTGGTTATCCCATCGACGGCCCTTGTGATCATGTGATGTGTTGTTCTTTGGCGTAGCGTTCGCCCGATCAACAGTCGCCGCCCTAGAATTGAAAATTCCGGGTGGCCGAGAGATTTTCTGAAAAGGGGAATGCTCAAAGTAGGCGTGTGTGATTCTGGAGCTCGTTATGCGTTACTATTTACTCGTCGTATATAGGAAGAGGGCAGGTCAAAAGGCCAGGGCACGGGTCTAGAGAAACGAAAACGTTTCCAAGGTTGTTGTTTTTCGCGGGCGTTCGGGTTTCGTTCCGTGGTGCCAGGAGGTTTTCAGCACGAGTTTCCTATTCGAGCGTCCGTACGTTTCCTCGGTCGACGGCTCTTGTTATCACGCGATGCGGCGTTATTTGGTGTAGATTGCGCCCATTACGGTTGATGCCCTAGAC